TTTCATAATTTTCGAATCGCTGGTTGTGGTACAACATGATTGTCTTTGATTCCGGATAATTTTGTAACACACTGTAAACTGGGATGTGCTCCTTTTATTGTTGGCTCACGTCCTCCGCCGAATGATTCTATATGGAGACGTATTCAAGAACAAGGGTATGAAGTTACTGTGTTTGATCGGGATCCTATATCACATCGTGAAAAGGAAGTCGATATAGCACTTGCACTTAGTGTAGGAGGAATTATTGCTAGTAATGACCCTGGTATATTAATTCTGGTTAGTGGAGATCGTGATTATGCACCCGCGGTAGAAAAGGCCCTGCAAAAGAATTGGATAGTTCAGACTTGGTTTTGGACTTCAGGTATGAAAGTATTATAATGTTTAAAGTTATGAGTTATTTAAGAATTTTGTTTAACATATTACGTTTTCTATAGGAATGTCTTGTAAACTTAAGGCGAAGACACATTTTTATTCACTTGATAACTGTTATCGATCCTTTGCATATGGCCGAGGGCCTGACCCCACTGGGGAAATGAAAGTTCTCGAAGTTACTGAAGGGAATATAATCAAGAGCTGGGGAGACGAGAAATTGATAGAATTGTTTAACACTTTGAATTTATTTGGTTGGTGGAATTGGTTTGGTTCTAGTTCTGTGCAGATATATTTCGATAATCGAGTGAACTTGGAGATAGTAAAAAATTATATTCAGAATAACTATCAAAAGGTACAGGTTCGGGAAAAAAATTAAGGAAAACAAAACGCCCCATTATTTTCACGATAGCTTTGGACATTACTTGAAGATTTCAATAAATATTCTGTGCACATAAATCATATTTTCATCCTATCAAAGTTAAACGGTTTATGTTTTATTTTTCTTGTCAATAATATCAATACCCATCATAATTATAACAAAGTATTTTGGCTATTTTCTAATGTTTTAGCGTTCTTTGACCTATATGTTACGAAATTCGATTTCTGTCGTTTAAAATATAACCGTATTCTTATAATCTTTAGAAATTCGCATATAATATAGTAGTATATTGTCACTACTACTACTACGATACCCAAAACACTTGAAGTGATATTGATCGCTTTCAAGCCCTTTCCGGCGCAGATGGATTTGATAAACAATTCAGCGTTAAGCAGCTTCCTAGGTGCAGTAAAATTACCTCTGATCTTATCAATAGCATTACTTTCCTAAGGCGCCATCAAAAAAAGGATGAGCGAAGGCGAACAAATGGTATGGACGAATTGATCCGGCAAAAAAAGTTGTCCAAGGAGCACCGGGAGCGAGAAATCCGCACTTAACGAGCCTACGGAAAGATTATTGGGCAAGAACGGAGGCAAATTCGGGCATATGCTCAACCTTCTGTCGGCAAGCAAATACAGCGATAATCCATTGTTTTGGACATTGGAAGAGCACACGGGAAGTACCATCGAAGGACATTCGCGGAGAGGGACAAAAAATTATAGAGCAATATCGAAATTATGGGCTTTATTAAATTATAGTCAATTATTCCGACACTTCTTTCCGACACTTTTACACGCTAGTCAAATTAGTCCATTTGTGTTAGTTATAATTGACGATGATTTGATGAATGGCCACTCCATATGCAGAATATGCTGTACGATCATAAAATGTCGGAAAAAAGTGTCGGAATTATTGACTATAATGCATATTAATAAATGTTCCTTTTTTGTGCGATCGGACGATGGAAATGTAACTGCCAGACTTTCTGAAAAAACAAAGAGAAATATCTGAACAGTCGGTATATGCAAAGTAGAATATATATATGTATAAAATTTTACACAAAACACCACAACAAAGCGAATAATCACCCAACATTGTCCGTTTTTTTTGGTCTCTTTTTCCAGTTTTTGATCCAATTATTTTCTGTATTTTTGGTTTCGTAAACTGTCTTGCCAGTAATTTCTTCTCTTTGCGAACGGTTTCACCCGCGTTTTATTATTAAAAAACAATAGAAAAAAAATATACATGGAAAGTTCACCAGATAACAAATTTATAAATTAAAAATAGTATTTGAACTAACAACGCGTTCTTTGTTTATTTTTCTTGTTAAGAATGCCTAAGCAACTTGATAATTTTGCTTTTCTGGTTTTCAATAAATTAAATTCCGTACAAGCACACTAAAAACAATCCCAGCATTATCAGATTGAAGCAATTCGCCCAATTTTTCCTGTAACAATATGCCCATTGAATAATAAAAAACCCCCCAAATTCAAACACGCACACCCAAATTCAAACACACACGCACCTCCAAATAACTTTCTTTTTTGCTTATATTATTTCCCACTTCCTTAAACAAGTTTTTTCCTCCGGTATATTTTTAGCAATATCTCGCATTATTCGACCAGTAAGTGAAGCAAAGCAAAATGACAAAGTTTTTGGAGTGATGCCTTATGTAGCACCAGAAGTATCTTTTTGGCGTAATTCAGCATCCTTTTCTTCGCGGTGGGGATACCGCATCTATTTTGAAATGAGTCGATGTATATTCAGACATACAATATATACGAGGGGCGGATTGTTCGCACATCGCGGCTATTAACAATTTAAGCGTCGGGCGCTCAATTTGTTTCAGTTGAGGTTTATAGAAGTTTAGAAAACAAGTTAAGGGAGAAAGAAGAAGAGGTTGTTACACTACTCAATGGTAATCTGCGTGCCCCTAAAATTGAGGCCCTGCACCGGCTTTTGTCTAAAATTTTATATACCCGCGAGCCGAAGAAATCACTCTTTGATATTGCCAAATGGTCATGAAATCTTTAATTGGTGATTTAAGGAAATATGCTAGTTAACGCCAACGGTGTCAAAAAACCGTGGCGCTGCTATCCTTATTTGCTTTACTGCGGGTCAGTTTCTTTTTCTAATGCAAAAAAAATCATCACTCACTTCAATCGAGAAAGAAAGAATTGATTACTTACTTCAAAGTAAACTTTATGGTGAACTTGCTAAACAGAGAAACCCATTAACTTTGTCTCTGAAAACTACAGATAAACCCAAATAACAAATAAGTTGCTGGATACTCAACAAATTCTTTATTAAAATATCCAGCGTGTTTTTTAATATAAAAAATAAATTAAAAGCTTTTGTATGGAGACCAGTCCCTAACAGATCCCTCAATGACCCATAGCTTATCGAGTCAAATTGGTGAAACAAGGTAACCGGCGTCGTCCAGATCCCTGTGCGGGCTGACTCCCTGAGAAATACGCATCTGTGAACGCTCGCAACGACGCGCTCGATGAATGAGGCATCAGATTCTTCTCATTGTGAATGAAGCAACATCGTTGACCGTATGGACAAGAACCTTTCTCCCAGAACGTCTTACATATTTCTGTCTTGTACTTGGGATGCTTCTTTACTTCACGCAACTCTGTGGCAGAATGTGCAAATTGACACTTGACGCCATATCTAAATGATTGTATAATACAAATTTTAATAATCTCAATACATGTATATACTATATATATAGTACCGAATCGGACGAAAACTTACCGACAATCCCCCTTTTCTTCCCAATTCCTACACATTTCAGTCTTGTACAACGTGGCTTTCTTTTGTTCCTTTTCTATCTCTGCAGAAGATTTCTCTTGTATAATCTTGTTCCGAGCAACATTAATACCATTATTCTCGACAGTATTAACACACTTTTTATCTGTCGTAGGTACACCATTTATGTGATAGTTCTTTCCAGTATCATCTCTGATATGTCCACGCTGAGTTGCGTTGTTTCCCAGATTGCTTCCTCTCCTCGATTTAGCCATCGAGGGCTGGCTATTCGGTTGGGGCGCATTGAGAGGCTGCATTGGTGGAATTCTGCTATTGTCATCTCTACATGTTACAAAAGGAGTTGTCCAAGTATCTACAAGCGGTTTACTCGGCATCGATAGCGGGGGGGCAATGTTGCAAGTCGGATGCTGCTTGGCTGGAAGATCACTCGTCGTGCGAGGCCAGACGTCGGACTGTTTGTTATCAGATGGCGTTGGTGTAGAATCCATTGACTGTGATCCATTCTGCCATCGCTGGGAATAGGGCGCTTTATACGTCGCATTAGCGGCCGCGTCGACATTGTTTTGAACAACAGGATAAAACTGGCAGGAAAAGTCTAAACTCTCGGTGGGTGATTGTGCTGGGGTATCCACGTATTCTGAGGGTGGTTGAGGAATTTTAGATGAGTTGAAATGCAGAGGCAATTCAAATTTTGTATATTGATGTTCAACTGCTTTGAACTTATTTTTGATGTCTTGCCAATTGTCAAAGCGACTATGATTCCCACGCAGCGAAGTCTGTTGATTACAAATTGTACCTGTAGATCCTTGATTTAATCCGTTTGGAACGTGTACGTGTGGTATATCCGTTAAATAATTTATCTGACGATTATTGCGCGCAATTGAATCGTCAATTGGTTTTCCTTTAGGATCGCGTGCAGGAACCACCCAGGTCGGTAGGTTTTCCGCTATCATCGACACCAGTGTTGAATCGATCTCTTTGTTGTCTCCTCGTGTCAGTGCGTCTGGTGACATGGATCCGGCCAGCTTCTGTTGAAGTTTGTTCATTGTTTTTCTAGCCAGTGGAGTTGGATCTGATAATGCCTTCTTTCGTGGCGACATTAGTTTCCGTGGTGACATGGGTTCTGTGATGTCATCAACAAATCGGCAAGACGCACACACATCCGATGGTTTACACGTGCACATGTCGTCCTCCTCCTCCTCTGTGTATGAAGAGCGAGTGCTAGCGGGCGATAAGAGACTGGGATAACCGTAAATATCTTTTCTATACGACGTCAAACCAAATTCCTCTTCACTGTCTTCGGATACCGAGGACGATCTGGTGCTGATGGGCGGGGAAGGCATATTGATCATTGTCGTCATGGTAATGTGATAAATAATTCGCAGTTTGGGTCTGTAAAAGTGATAGAGAACGCAGAGGGGAAATGTCAGTGCCGTTTGTAGAAGTAATATCACGTGATTGTTTCGAATAAAGTTTCTCGAAATGGACGCTTTGTAATGACGGGATATTAATTACAAGTCTGCTAATAGTACTAGTGCAATGATAATGCGGTGAATGACGCGAGAATTTGAGAGAGAAACAAGACCGAGTAGGTTGGGGGATCGAGTATTTTGGACAGTTGGTTTGTTGGTTTTCACAACGTAAGCAGTGATCGCATGGGTTGCAGGCATTCGATTGATGCAGAGGGTTGCAATGGTGATGTTGTGATCAGGTATTAGACAATCAATAATGGGGAAAGGGTAAGTAAGGAAGAAGAACGATTGCGAGTGGGTAAGGTGAGGAATGAGCGCGTTGCGCAGTATGGTTAGAAAAGGGGAGGTAGTATGAGTGGTATTGAGCAGTATGTGTAGCGTATGTGTAGTTTATTCGCGGTCTATTTGTTATATGAGAAGTGTGTGTACGTGTGTGTACGTGTTTGTGTTTTGATATTCGCGAAGTAAAGACGGATTTCAACAGGATAGGGTTCGCTATGTTGATTCGAAACGTGTCAAGCGTTGGATTTGTTGTCGTGTTTTGGTATCTTGTGGTTGTTGTTGCAGAGTGGTTGTTGGTTGGGTTGCCTCGTCTTGTCCTTGCTCTCTCGTATTGTTTTCTTTCTCTCGTGTCTTTCTTATGTGGGGAATGATATGTAAAAGTATTGATTATGATCCCTTCTGGTGATAGTTTTTCTCTCTCTACGTACCTTATGATACTAGTGATGAGGTTTTTGGATTGAGGATGTGGGAGCGCAGATTTAAAGGAAAATTTTGGGGAGGGGTGAATAAATAAGGGTGGTGCTATGAGGTACTCATGACTATATAGCAGACAACTTAATATAGTTAATTGATCAAGTATAAATAATGATTATTGTTTGCAATATAATAAATAAGTAACATAGTGTAATATATTTGAGTATTACATAATGCTAAAGTAGATTATTTACAAGGCTTTTTAAACAGCGATCTGTAGTTAATTGTTTTTGATATGCAGGCAGATTTCCACGTATCCCATCGACAATTGTTGGGTATATACAGCTTTCTATTATGTCTATTATTGCATAGAATAGTCGTCTATTGTCGGTTATGTGTCTCGTAGACGACCATTGCCTTCCATTCTACCATTGCTACCAGTATTGCGTATGCAATTCCATTGTGCTGTTTACTAGGCTTGTCTTCTTTGAAAACGTCTCAATATATGGCAAGGCCCCTTCCCCCAATTGTGTTGACATTATGTATAAATAAATCCTCTAATGCTTCAGCCTACCTACAAACACAATAGCGAAAAATTTTCGGGGGGGCTCGATTCTTTGTTTATGATGTAAAGAGAAAACGAGTTAGTGCATGAGTTAGTGTAAAAATAAGACTGCTTTGGGAATGAGGATATTCAGTGAGAACTTGATGATAGACCAAAGAACGTGCACAGTCTAGATGTGAATGGATAAGCAGAGATGCGCTAATATACTATGAGTTAGATTAATCGGTTCTGACTGGATAGCACAACCGTGACCAGTGCTTTAAAATCGTAATCCATGTGATTAATATTTTTTAACATTCGATACACCTACAATAACGTATAGTGCTTATTATGAACCTGACCACCGAATAGCTTATTGTTCTAAACTCTATTCAAAAAAGCGTAAAGAGAAAGTCCCGTCTTCTATGGTGACAGATAATGAATGCATCGATGATACAAACATTAAGGCGAGCAATTATATAGTCGTCAATAACATCGTTCATATTTTAATTATATTTAATATATTGAGTGTTCAGCATATTGACTATTTTGGTCGAGATTGACGAAATCTCGTGTGCCCTATTATGGTGGCATTTATGGAATTATCACACGAGTTTTAGGCCAGATTAGTTATTAGTCTCATTGCCATCGAACTAATAAACCAATATTAAATATATTCTAGATGGTTACCGTAACAATTTATATTGCCTACCACTAATTCTTTCTTCCCATGACTTTAAAATGTGTCAAATAAAATGGCTCTGGTGCAGACAATAGCCATATCAGGTGGTCGGCATTAATAAGGATAGATTGTCGATAGGGGGTATTGTATTGTATGTATGTGTGTGTTGTGTTGTGTTGTGTTGTGTTGTGTTGTGTTGTGTTGTGTTGTGCACTTAAAAAAAATTAGACCGGAAAAAGAGAGAGCAAGAGATAAACAGACGAAAAGTTGGCAAAGATAGAATGAAAGTGGAGTAAAAATACAAAAAAAAAAATGCATCCATTATTAATGGAACGTATGTATTGCTATATTCGTTCATATTAACGCCAAAAGTCGTTCAATTGACATCACATCCAATCAGTTGTATCAACGTGCTGTCAAATCGACTAAAGGAGTTGGAACATACAATACGGTCTTATACAATGCCTACATTTAACTGTATATTTTACTTATTTCACCCAATCAAAAATATACACATGACGATGACGAACTATTTATGCATTTTGTGTAATATAGACGAAAGAAGAAGAAAAAAGAAGGAAAGTCCTTTACTTGTTGTAACCCACAAACGAACAAGCAAAGATGTGATCAAACAACAAACACATGCACAGGTATAATAAAAGTATGAATAGTAGAGATATTAGTGGTGGTGATAAGTAATATTACTGATAGTATAACGGCAGTGGTAGTCTTGGTCGTGGTAGCTGTTGTGCTCTTTGTTTAGTTAATGAGCTTTGCTAACTCACTAATGTGACACTATATTAAAGAGCATACATCTCCCGATGCGTACATTCCGACTGGTAATGAGGTTAACAAAAGTCACAAATGACCCACTCCAATTGATCAGTGTGTCAAAACCATCATAGATATCAATAATCATACCAAATATGATCTGAACACGTGAGTACTAGTCGTGTATTGATGCTCCGTGGTAGAAAACGTAAATAAACGGTGCAAACGTTCAATAATGGTAACTAATCAACATACACGGGTAATCAATAGCATGTAGACAGCATGTTACGGATAGTAGAACAAGCGACTATTAATAGAAACTGTCAAAATATGCTAAACGATTAACTGAATTAATATTAGGCTGGAACGTCTATAACAACAATAGCAAAGACTATAAGACCATAGTGAATAACAACAACAGCCATGGAAACATCGAGACCAACGATGGCAACACTAATAACACCAACACTATCTGCATAGTCGTCAAAGGTCTCCTTACCATTTCCCCCAATCCAATCAACTCGAGATCATCCCTCATGTACTCGATCTTATTCCCGTAACACAATGCTAAGACTCTAATCGACTCTCACGCGACTTTCACACGAAAGAACAAATTCCTGATATGCAAAAGATAGAGAATGTTGGGTTGACGTACGAAAAACAAGTGCCAATCTAAAGCAATAGAAATACTAAAAAAATAAGGTGAAATAACATACAGTAATTGTGACAAGATACTAAGCGAAAGCAACTACTAACAGGTATGGTTTTTACCGTGGTCGCGATAATGTTAATTAATAATTACACAATAATCGCACAAGCAATCGCTATTGACAGTTATCCGTGTTATCATCTCTGATATCGACTGATAAAGACTCACTCTTGAAATACCAAGTTGTATTTAATATATTAACAATACATAACACGTTTAGTTAATTAACAAATAAAATACTCTTAATACTTCATTATCATATACATATTTACATATAGCACGTTTTCATCAAGGGGTGGCGATAATATTTGATAATCAACCTTTTTCTCGAATTGCTTCTCGTTCTCATCCTATATTGGCCGTATTACATGTAATGCTCGTCACAAACAAAGTGGGTAACCATCCACGCGGGAATACCCTCAAGATCACCTACCAAATATAGTATGACTCAACGTTGTTATTGATGTACAGTGTCATGTAGCCTCGATTACCTATCATTGGGAAAAACTTTAATTATCCCTCGCACAAAAAAAAAACGGAATGGAAAAAAAGAAAAAAAAAAAAAGAGAAATCCAAACCGAACGACAAATAATAAAGAAGCAAAAATATATTACAAACAATAAGGGCATGACAAATATCCCGATAACAATGGGTTTTCATGGCAAGGTTACCCAAATCATGATGCCACGTTACAAAAAGATGGACAAGCTACTACTGATATATTAATATATATACATGAGACTCACAGAAACAAATGAAACGCCTCGTCTTCCATCTCTCAAAGCAACCTAAAATCGCGTCTCACCAATCAATCCTCTTGTGCCGCAATTCATTCCCACCCACGTTCCATTCATTTCATACGCTTGGCATTCAATTCAATCCAGGCCCTCTGCTACAGTTTATTTCGGTTAAGCGTCTTCGTGAAAGGTACATATTGTAGAACATGTAAAACTTCTACTTTTAGTCAGCCACGTTATTCTTGTAAAACAATTGATTAAACGTTTTGAGGTTTCGAACTGGAAAAACTCTGAATAGCAAATAGAGTAAGTACACTAACGTAACAATGAAATATAATAGTTTTTACTCTTACCCTATATATTAATGCTTATATATTATCAATTGTATCCGATTATAGCGTGCAGTCAATGTGACTTATCACGAATGATGAGTCAGGAACAAAATCACGATGTGAGATGTGTTTGCAGATATCGTTGGGACAAGCGATACTGTAATATTCCCCCCCCCCCCCCACATCTAGCATTCGTTGCATTCTGTATGTGCAAATTTCAACATTGGTAATTGGAAACAAAGTGATTGCAAGAAGCAAACCAGGACTTATTATTACATACAAACAGAATAAAAATACTACGAGGGGAGAACGACAAAACAAATACATAGAAAAGAAATACTACACAAACAAGATTTTAACGTATAGAATTCTAACATTAGAGATATTTATATATTAATTT